TAGTATTAATTTCTAAATAAATAAATTATAATTAAAAATGCAAAAAACAACTATAAAAATAATTAAATAAGAACCCACAATATCTACAAGTTAGTCATAAATTATGATTGTTAAATATAAGGCATTTAAACTCACAAAACCCTGTAAACTATCAACGTTTTGTTCCTAGAGATATTTTGTTGTTTGTTTCATTTTGTTTTTAGACTCACCCTATTATCGCAACTTACTCGCACAAATTATTTAAACGCAAAGGAACCTGACACACCGATGCAACTCCAGACGCTGTAAATTCGCACGCACCGCGGGATCAGTCACTCACACGAGACCACGGGAGTTTGGTGCTTTTCTTCACCAAGGGTTTTTTTTTTTTTGTCTGTTTTTTTAAAAACTGTGCTTGTTCATTAGGCAAATAGTAATACTTCCACATAGGCTTTAAGAAAACGCACGGTTGGATTCGGAAGCGCTCCTCCTACCCTCCCTGCCCAGCCAGGGTCCCAATTGCCCCGTTCCTCCCCCTGCTTCGCCCCCCCAGCTCACGCCTGGACAGACCAGACCGGCTTACAGTGTATTTTACCAGCAAAGCCTTGCTTTGCTCGTTCATATTATTAGTAATATCGGTATTATTTTTAATGCTGCTTCAATCTGCTGCTGCTGGAGCGAGTCCCATAGGTATCGATGGACCAATCCTTGACCCAAGGAGTCCGCAGCCCCCCGGTCGGGGCTGGGACCACTGCGTCCCCTAAGAAGGCATCGCTTGCGCTGTGTGGCAAATATATCATAGGATCATGGAATGGTTTAGGTGGGAAGGGACCTGTAGAGGTCATCCAGTCCAGCCCCCTGCCATGAGCAGGGTCATCTTCAACTGGATCAGGGTGCTCAGAGCCCCGTCCAACCTGACCTGGAATGTTTCCAGGGATGGGGCATCTCCCACCTCTCTGGGCAACCTGTGCCAGTGCTTCACCACCCTCATTGTAAAAAATTTCTTGTTCTATGCCATCACGTGTCCCCTTCCACTCCCTCCCACCTGCATGGGCACAGCAAGAGAAGGGCTCCTGCATCCTTGCACCCTGCGGGGCTCCTCGCTTTCCCTCCCCTCTCCAGTTGAGTAAAAAAAAAAAAAAAATCTCTGAGGTGCCTCTGAGGTTGGTGTTTTCCAATTACAGCTCACAGGAATCCCACGATCTTTCTGATGGTAATTTATGATTGTTTCTACTTGGAAAGCATCGCTTGGCTCCAGCGAAACAGATGCTCAGGGGAGCCAGAAATCATCCCCACCGCATGAGCATTCTCAATTTATGATGTTCCTGACTAATTCCCCTTGCTCTTTGGCATCTTTCTTTTGCTTCCCTAGTATGTAAAAAAAAAAAAAAAAGTTTAAAAAAAAAAAAAAAAAGAAAAAAAGGGGGTTGGTTGTGAATGCAGGTTCTCCAGAGGGTTTTCAGCTTGGTCCCTACGGTTGGTGTGCTGAGGTCTTTATTTCGGGGGGGAGCTTGGATTGCAACATCTCACTCCTTCAGGGACTACCTCCTAATTCTCTTTTGACTGTTAATGCAAATAGGTTTTTTTTGAACAACCACTCCATTCTCTGTATGGATATGGCCTGAAATGTATACAAATGCACGCGGGTGCAGGTGCACGTGCTTTTAGGCAGGGTTACAACCCAGCCCCTCCGGAAAGCAGCAAACCCGCCCTTCCAACCTGCCTTCTCCTCCCACGCTGAAATGCTCATGGCCTCAGCAGTGCCTTGTGAGCACTGAATTTTCCCCTGTCCTGTTACCAGAGATGCGAGAGGAGTTGGCAGCGTACATCTCTCGGCACCTCTCCAGCGTTATCATACCCCAATGCACAGCTATAGGCACCGACTCCAGCAACCATCATTTTGGACCAGTGCTGGCAGCGGCCGCTGAAGCCAACCAGCCTCACAGCTCACAGGAGAAAGCATCATGGACAATGGCAATCATGAAGACAGCCCTTCCTTGGATTTCGATGTGCCAAGCTACTTCATTAAGATACGGAAAGCAAAGAAACAGCACCTACTCCAATATTGTGCCCCTACAGAAAGCGTCCAGCACCAGCAGATAAGCAGGAACGAAGCTTCTCCCTATCGCTTTGTTCATTTCATTCCCAATTTTTATTTTTTTAAGCTTCTCTAAATTTGCAACACACTGTAAACGCAAGGAAAGGAAGCACACGCGGCTGAGGCAAAGAGCGCAACCCTTCTGACTGTAAACAGGATTTTGCTTTTTCGCCTCTTCCCCCCCAAGGGTGGGAAAGCTTGACCTCTTTATTCCCCCTCTTCAATGTATTAATCAGGCACCAAAATAAGGAATCTATGAAAAAATATTTGGTGCAAATTAGGTAACAGCAACATGTCCACCACAAGATGAGTAGGGCATCAAACACAACATTTCTTAAGCTAACATGCTCCAGCTGCCATCCATAGAAATAGCTAAAGGACCCCTAACATGTTTCTACGTATTCGAGAGGTATATATACAATCCTCATGAAATGCAGGATTGACAGGCCAGACTACCACAACTAGTTCCTTCATGTTCAACACTAAATCTTCTGCAGCACGGGGTCTCTGAGCTCCGGGAATGCCAGCTCCCTTTCACCGGGCCCGTATCCTGCGTATGTGCAATATCTCCTACCGCTAGATATTGTACCGCCACCTCCTCCTCCTCCTCCTCACTAACATGCCTGCAGACTTTTCCTCTCAATCAAATGGCTCAGAAGGCAAAAATTTTGCTGCAAGGGTTTATGGCCATACGACCTGGTAAGGAAAATGGTGTGTCCAGCCAGTCCTTTCAGCTGTCCGAGCCGAGCTGTGTTTCAATGTCCACCCTGCAGATCGGGCACTTCTTGCTCGTGGCCAGCCACTGGTCCACGCACACTTGGTGGAAGAGATGCATACAGGGCAACCGCCTGCAGAGAGAGAAGTACCGCCCCGTTAGGATGGATGAGGTCCAGGGGACCAAGAAGAGCCAGAAACATGGAGAAGCACCGATGTAGTGACACCGGTGCTGCCTGGGTCCTACACCCTTCCCCAGCCACACCAGCTCACGTAGGGTGGTAGGTCAGAGATGGTGTCCTTCTTGGCTAAAAGCCTTTTAGAAAACCCCCGCACCCTCCTGAATTGAGTTGTTCCAGTTATTAATTACCCTGGCTGCTGCTTTTTAACCTTTCAGGAGTATTAGGTTGTACTCCAAAGCCTCTTGGTTCTTCATCGCTGTGGCTCATTAGCAGCCAGGTGGGTCCCCACGGCTCCTCTGTGGGTGTCTGGTGTGCCCCAGGGAATGTGGTCGCTTTTCACCAACACCACCCTTGTCGTCTCTTCACTCGCCCTCATGAGCCGGAGGGACCCTGAACCACAAGGATCCACAGCAAGAGGATCAGAGCTTTTCTTGATGGTTTAAGGCAATTAAAGGGTGAGGAGCAGGACCAGGTAGTGCAGCTGCACTGCCCACCTGCAGCTCCTTCAGCCGTGGTAGCTCAGCCCCTTGCAAATGCTTGTCCCTATCCTCTGTCACAAGCAGACATCTGACCCAGCCAAGAGCCTGGGGACGTCTGTGAGGGATAACTGGGGCTTTTGTTGTTGGCTCAGGATGGCTCCCTGTGACCACGCGGGAGGAGTAATCTCACTTATTCTACAGTAAAGCAGCTCCATCCTGGCCACAAGCCAATCTCCCCTGGACTTCACACCCACACTCCCTTTTATTGTGCTTCGGTCATCTGTCAAGCTCTGACGTTGATGTCCCCGAGCTCCAGATGGCTGTCTGAGACCTCAGACCCATCCTTCTCTGACACTTGCCACCTGGCCCATTGGCACAGCCTTGAGGCAGGTGATCCAAACCCAGGAGATACTACAAAAACTTGGCCCTCCCTGCTGCTGAGCTCTTCCTACCTGCAGCCCATACCGATATCCATCTGAGTGGCATTTGGTTTCCCATTTCCTGCAACAGCCTAAGTGAGTTTGTCAGGACAACCCCACCAGCGCATGGCAGCGTTAATCCCAATAAACACAACTCAGATGGCACCGAGAGGCAGAGGAGCAGATGGAAGGATCATACCTGACGTCTTCTCCGTCTTCGAGCATGGACAGACAGATTGTGCATTTTTCGTCAGTGTCTGACTCCTCTCCATCCTCTTGCTCAGCTTTGCCTTCCTGTGGTCTTCTCTGCAGCAAGGTTAGAAACATAATTTGGTTAGGACTTGACTTTCTAATGCTCTCCCAAGCCTGGGTAGTTGCAGGAAGACAAATAATAAGAGCTTCATCTACCAGCCAGATCCTCCAGCTTGGGGAAACCAGCCCAGCCAAAACAGCCAGTGAGGGGAGGATGCTACCAACATGCTGCTGGTCGGCACGTCTCCTCCTGGGGCTGGTGGCAATGTCCCAGGGAGCAGCCTGTCTTCTGCTGCCCTAACACAGCCCCCCACCACCTCCTCCATCCTCCTTGCAGCGGGGATGGCCCCATGGTCTCCTTTGCTGGAGGCTTCTCCTGGAGACCCCAAAGCATATGGGGCCACCACCACCAGGAAGGGCAACCACTGTGCCCCATGACAGCTCGGCCACTGGCCCAGCCCCACACTGCGCCATGGGGCAGTGCTTAGCCTGTCAGCTCTCCCCTTTTCTCTTCCCCCCACACATCCATTCCTACTAATATCATTTTTCTAGATCCACTGGAGAAGCAGTCAGAGATAAGCGCAGCAGGAGTTGACTCATTTCCAACTTGGGCAATGCAACGTCCCTACTTGTTACTGCCCAGCCGGGAATGACCAACATTTGAAATTACTATGCAAACAAGCACTTTTCCCATTTTCTATTTAGCGCGACCCAAAAACATGGCACCCATTTCCTTAGGGGCAGGAGATCAGCTCCAACAGAGGACACACCTCTTGCAAAATGAGGGGAGGACAAGCTCCCCCGCGCCATGGAGCCAGCACCCTCATGGCAGGGCGTGCGGGCAGCGCCGCTTGCATGCAGAATGGGGTGGGTTTGCATGCACGAAGCCCCCTTGGTGTGTGCACTTTCTTACCAGGTGCGGACAGGGGGGAAATTGCACCCGCTGGGTGGGAGAAGGCTGAGACCCTTTTGAAAATTTGGCCCGCAGCTTCCTAGCCTAGAAGTGAGAAACAGCCAGCTGAGCTACACCACCGCTTCAGCCCGGGAGCCCCACAAGATATTAAAGCACCAATTCTGGATTTTACATTTCTTCCCCATATTTCGGGGAATATTGACGGCACCGGTTTGCCAGCCCTGAGGATTGCGACCCACCAAAGTCCTTCCTTCTGTCCGCTCCGTGCCCACAACCCTTGGCCAACTGAGAGGGGCTGGCAGCCGTGCCGCGGTTTTGGGGCACTCACCTTCTTGTACTTGTGGGGGAAGGTGAACCTCTCGATGGTGTTCTGGACAGCTCCCCGGCTCACGCTGCCCAGCCTGTCCTCCAGCTGCAGCAGCTCCTGTGGTGCAGGAACAGCAGCAAAGCACCATCAGCATTGCTCCCGGGGCACGAGGTCCCACCACCCCACCCCACCTGCTGGGCACCAAGGCTCTCTCCTGCCCTTTCCTTGGTGGAAATGTCCATCAAACCCAAATCAGCCATGCTTTAATGATCAGTCTGAGCCCTGGCTCTTGGGCTAGTAACTAAGGGCTCTAGGCGAAGAGCTGGATATCCAATATTTCAGAAATTAGGGTGGAAGCTGAGCTCCATTTGACAGGCTGGGAAACCAAACCCCATAGAACTGAAGCACTTGGTTCACAGACATGAAAGCAAGCCAGAGTCAACCCGAGCCAGACCCAGGCACACTGGCATAAACCATCTTTTACCAAACCCCCTTAACCCCTTTGCCTCCCAGTTATTACTAAAATTGCTGCAAGACTCAATGCCACTGCCACACCACAAAACAGTCTTTGAAGGTTATGCCAGAGCTTGCATAGATTCCCAGCACTTAAAAATTTAATAATTCCAGTCCTCAAGACACATACTTCATAGCTCTCCCGCACAGCGGACGTGTGCCTGCTTGGGTTCAGTCCCTGAAGAGCAAGTAACTGAAGCTGAGGATAAGGGTAATTTCTGATTTCGTGAACCACCTGTGAGAAGTGAGGGAGAAAAATGAAGCCACCTGTACTTGCACATAGAAATCCCTTGTGTACCCTGATTTAAATCTGGTGCTTTAAAAATTCAAAAAGAAAGAGCAGACCAACACCTTCCCCAGTGGAAGCCTTTTAATAACCAAAAAATGAGGTTTTATTAAATAGATCTCCTATAAATGATAACTAAGAACATGCATGTCTTCTGAATAAACTGTTCTAATAACTTCTGTCACATCTATAACATTGCAGTTCCAGACTCTCAGCATGGATTAGCTCAAAAAGAGATTTGATTTTATTTGTTTATAAATGGGTGGATTTCTCTTCATCCAAGCTTTGATTTTTTAAGCCTTGCTGTAGTACGCAGGTGTCAGGGTCCGACTATGGGCATGAGGGAAAAACACTCTTGTGGGATTTCTGAGGATGTTTTAAGGTTTAGCAGTGCTGAGCACTGCTCAGCTCCAAATGCAGCATCCTGCTAGGAGAAGGGCCAGCAAATGACCCCAGTCAGCCCATCTCCTCATCAAATTCCATCTCCACCTGTGCAACAGGTCATGCAAAACCTTTATAGACGTAGAGAGCAATGACATGAGGAGAGATGGTCCTGGGGGCTGACCCCAGGGAAGGGAGTCATCTACTGCTAATGCAGGGAGCCCTGGGAGCCCATAATTTGTTCCAGTATTAATAATAGTCTTAGTAATAACTGCTGAGTCTCTCACATCCTTGCCCAGGTTTTGCAGACCAGCTTGTGAGCGTGGTGCTTCACGCGACGGACCAAATTTTTCCAGAGCAGCTGAGCTTTTCTTTCCTTTCTCTAATCCAGAGTGCAATGATGCAACGTTATCCTTTCAGACACTCCCTCCCACGGCCGGAGATAAGTGGGATTCACAGAAGACAGGTGATAGAAAGATAGCAGCCTTTATTTTGACTGCCTTCTGGCAGACAATGCATAAAACATTTCTCGGTAAAAGCATTTCACTTACCATCTGTGTCGAGGATGTGCTTCTGGGGAAATGGTGCATCCGAGGTGTAGCTAAGTAATGCTGATAGGGCTGGGGGACCGGCCGGACCTGGAACTGGGCATGAGTCAGTCCTGCATCGACGCTGAGGTCCCTGTGGGCATGAACGTGAAGCTTTGACTGCACGGTTTTATTGCATGGCTTACAGCAAGTCAGATCGTGCTCATGGGGCAGCTTCCACTGGTGGGCTCTGGGCTGCTGTGGCTGCCTAAACTTGGGGTGATGCTACTGCTTGGAAGGGAGTTTCCTCCAATTTGGGCAATCACCCATCAGGCCAGTACGAAGGAGTAAGGGGGTGTTTTCATGCCATTTAGCATTTGTGTTAGCTGGGGTCAAGAGCTGCACAGCAGCCTGCTAATTTCAGAGCAAGAGCATTTTGGTGGCTCCGATAGATCCCCAGGCTCAGGAACTCAACCTGGCCAGAGCAGGTCCTCCCTGTGCCGCCTTTGCTGCAAACAATTACATTTTGCCTTGAATATTTTTTTTAATGCAGCTAAATGCCTCGGGACATACACCGATGAGCCATTCTGGGTAGTTGTTAGGAGCCAGCTAGGCACCATCTGGGGGCTTTTTGATGTGCCTGTGCTCTCCTTGGAGGTCTCCCAGCCCAGGCCACAGGAGGACCTAGGAAAACGGGACACTGCACCTCAGGCAAAACCCAGCTTCAAGGAACCATAGAACTGCTGTTTGTGCAGAAAATATAAAAGTTTTAAGAAATTTCTGAATGAGACTGCTGTAGGAAATGGTGTCACATGACCAGTGGGCCAACGCCAACGAAGCAGGACATCCCTCGTGGTCCCACTCGCCTGCACGCAGCCTGGCCTGGGCAAGCAAAGTGGGATCTTCACCCAGGCTGGGGCTCAGCTTGGTGAGTTTGGGCACTTTGTCTCTCCAGAAAAACAACCTGGCTCAAACCCAGGACTTAACATGACCAAGATCTCAGCAAACACCGCAGCTCTGCCCAATCCAAGCACTCAGACAAAAATTGCAAACCCCATCCCCACGCTGCGTCCAGGGGATGGGAGGAGACCTAATTCAGCATCTCCATCTATAATCCAATTAGCTGATCCCTCATCTCTTCAGCCAAAGAGTCTTTCAGCAAATAAGTGCTTTGAACATCATTCATTTTATCACAATTACAAAAGCCTGCACTCTAATAACCATTGTCTTCACATTTGCCAAAGCTAAGCTAATTAGAGCACAGGGGTGTCTTCCCGTTTTATCCTCGAACTTCTCTTCCCCTCCACAGAGGACAGCGGCACCGAGTGCCACGGCTTGTTAGGAGCAACCCAGACGTGTCCTCCAGCAGCTGTGAAACTGTTCGCCCAACAGCAGATAATGGACATGAGGGGACAGTAAATGCAGAAATCCTTTACCTAGAAGAGCCTGTGCACCAGGCAGCAGCTCCAGTGCTCTAGTACCCCCTAATAAGACACCCCGCACCAAGCTGAAGCAAAGAGAGGGACTATCTTTGCTGGCCCTGTGCTAGCCATGTGCTAGACAGACGAAACCTGGCAGAGGATAAAACACAGCAAGCAACTGGCAGGAACACAACCAGGGTGAGAATCCACAGGACTGGGTATTTTCCAGCTCTTGTGTCACAGTCTTGGATATTTATCCAATTGCTGCAGACTGTTCCCAGGTGGATGGAAGGCTTGACTGCAAATCAGGAGGTTTTGAGTCCATTCCCAGCCCTGCCACTGGCCTGATGCATGACCTTGACTGTTTTCTCTCTGCCTTCCCATATTCCCTGTCTACAAAATGGATGCAATAATCCACAGAGCGCTTTGAGACCAAGGACCGAAGAGATCTCTCAAAGATGAGCAGCCATTATTGACTTGCACAAGTAATTGCAGCAACAGCACTGCTGAACTGTTTGTGCACTGGTGCATCTAGATCCTTAAAATCAGATACTGAGGCTCCTGAAGTAATCCTGTGGGTCTACAGAAGAGCCCAAAGCAGAATACTGCATGGAATGGTGTTTTCTCAGGATTTGCAGGTGAATAAGCAGAGCACATTAGCTGAAGAAAACCAAAACCAGCCATCACCTTCTAGCCTGTGCTACACAGACAACTGTACAGCATCCTGATGCTCGGATCGAGGTTCAAGAGCTATGGTGCCTGTGGTACACGGGCTGCCAACAACCAAAAAGCGAAAGATCAGGACCCAGATAACAGGTTGGATGGTCGTCACTAAGTGCGGATGCAGAAGATGATTTAAGGAACCAAATGGGAGCTTATTTCTTCTTCACCAGAAGATTCTAATTGAGGTTGGGCTGTCCGAGATGACTGATCACCTTCAGATCTTCTTTCCATCCCCATTTCCCGCGACAGTGCCTACCACCCACCGCCTCCGAGCGAGCGCCGCTGCTGCTCATGCAGTGGTAACATATTAGAGGAAAGTTTTTATATCTGTCACTGGGCAAAACTGTACATGTGCCCCAAGGGGAAGTGAGTCACCCAAATATATACACACAGTGTATGATTTCCGTCATCCCCATTCCTTAGGTTTTATAAGGCTATGGAGCAACACAGCGGGGAAAAGGAGGGAGGAGGAGGGGAACGTAAAGCGGCGCTTTATCAGATCCTTCTAATGATTATAATTAAACACTCTATGCCAAAAGAGAGGCAGAAAGAATTGCTCTATCCAGATGGTACGTGAACCGTTTTGCAAACTGATCTGAACAATGTCATCCCGGCCAAATTCAGCTCACAGTGGTGCCAGTAATGGGAACACCTGAGAAGAAAATGGCAGAAGGATCTGGCCATATTTTAGGTTGTATATTATTACCCCGGAGGGGCAAAAAAGCCACCCTGTGTTAAAAGGACTCTCCATTTGCAGAGCGAAGCACTCGGATGTTAGGAAATGCCATAATTAAGATTTCCTGTGACATTTTATTTCGGTCCCCTTGTGCATATACATTGCGATTGTCTCTAATTATGTGTTCACATGCTATTTTTTCCATTCAGTGCACAGAATGGACTTTGCTCAGCTAACAAGCAGCCACACAGAAGTACGTTTTTATTTTCTTATTCTTCCAAGTAGGGCCCCATACATTATTAACTATGCAAGAGCTCAAAACTTGCTCTGAAAACAAAACGATCAATTCCCTGCTCGGTTTTTCCAGGGTATCGAATACTGCAGTGGGAGAATGATTAACAACTATTAATTCATTCACACCACCCTGAGGGGCAGCGTAGCACCGTGCTCCCTAACTTCGACCACAGAAAAAGCTGTGGCCACTGTTTTTTGAGTGCCTGGTGGACAGCAGAAGATCTAGTTCAGGCAGAGACATTGGTCTACAGGAAAAAAAACCCTGGCTGTGCCCTGCAGCAGGAAAAGTCCCTGGAGGAAGATTAACGCTTGGCTGCACTCTAATTCCATGGATGGAGAGTTGTGGGCAATATCGATGCCTCGATGTTATCATATACATGCATAAAGTCTTTAGCATACACTCACGGCCCTCCCGGAGACGAGTTTTCCCATTGCGCGCTCCCCACATTGTATCTGTTGAGCTGCACCATTAGCTTTCACGAGAGCATTGATCCACGATGACATCCACCAACCCTTGCAACCTCCCCAGGACTTTTTAAATACCTCATTCAACATGCAAGTGAAATGTGGGAGACTTACCAGTCCGTGCCTTCGGCTAAATACCTGGGCTGGGGCCCCATGGGTTGTGGAGTTTGCAGTTGGTGGCTGAAGTCAAAGCTGGGGTGTAGACGGTGAGGCTGAACAGACATGCGCTCTTGAGCCCGCCTGTGGGGAGGAGGAGACCAGCAAGAGAATTAGCCATGCGGCGGGCACGGCTCATGAATGGCTCCTGCTCCGAGCCCGTGTCAATAAATTGGGGGAAAACTCAAACTGTTGGGTTTGTGAATATGTGTCCAAGAGAAAAGAGTCCAGGCAGGTGTCAGGGATGATGGGAAGAGAAACCCAGAGCTGTGTCTTCTACTCGTGGTCACCACAGACATAACGCAAACCTCTACCCTCACCCCCTGTGGCATCCACATACAGTCAGTTTACAAGAGATGCTATTTGGCAGCAACATGGAGAGAAAAAGAGGAAACCGAACTTCTTCCTTAGCAGTTTTGTGCCATTTGCACTATTTTCTTTTTCTCCACTGTCAGCCCCATAAACAACACGCAAGACAAAACTCGTCCCTGGTTCAGCCGTTATCCATCATCGTAAAGAAGCTGCAGGTTGTCTCGCCTCCCCATGCAGTGCATAAACTCCTGGGGAACCTCATTCATAACAGGATTACTCAGGAGTAACTGAAAGCAGAATTTACTCTCGCTGGCCTTTGCCAACATTTCTCTGGATGATGGACAGGCCAGGCTGGGATCCAGCTCCTTCTCCCCCAGCTCTGGTGCCTTTGCAGGCAGGGAAAGAAAAGTGGTAGAAAATATAGCAAGGTTTTTCTAGGGATTTGAGTCTCTTCTCGTGATTGTTGCTTATTTGAACTGCTCAGGGGAAGAGCATCTGCTGCTTGATCAGTGTCCACATTTGGAGAGAGACAAGGTGGATGCAGGAGGAGGATTTGCATTACAGACAGACTCGCGCCCCTTGCTCCCTGCCAAGTCCCTGCTTACCGATGGAGCAAGTGCAAAGCAAAGCTATGGGAAAACACTAGAACAAATGGAGCAGGGAACAGCTAGATAAAAAATTTTTCATGCAGCCACAGCTCAGAGGCTTCACTTTTGAAGGCACAACCCAGATTTCCATTACTGGGACCTCATGCCCCACACCTGTAAGGTTCCTGACACCCTCCTCCGATGCAGCTGTGCTTTCAGAAACAGGCTGTGGGACCAGGCAAGAGGTTCCTGCCCTTTTCCACACCACAACCCACTTGCAGATGTAACACTGACAAGCTTTTACCAAACCAGCTTCTGCGTGGAATTGTGCTCTGTGCTTTTATTTGAATTCAGCTTATGACTAAGAGATAAACACTTGTATCATCAGTGCCTCAGCCTCACATATATTTGCTACCCAATTATTAACTAATCATTAAATCCACCTAAAATCCAGCTTATGCAAAACAAAACAAGAAGAGAAGAACACACAATTTTCAGACAGAAAGGGTATGGAAAGAAAGTGTTTTCTGTCTGTAGCATTCTTTCCAAATGAAGCGTAATCGCGAAGACTCATCCTCTGATTCTTGATCCATGGGTACAACCCGCAAATAGCTTCCATATGTTTCCAAAAAAAGCACTCCTCTCCTACATGCTATCTAAACCCCTCTCTCAAGAAACACAATCAGGACAAGGCCAGACATCCATTTCCACCTCTGCTGAGTTACAGTAATTCTCTCTGCAGTCGTCAGCCCAGTCTGAATTTAGGCTGCTTTCCATGATTGACTGTGCTGCAGGTCAACAGCATCATTCCCTCATAGATCTGGGAAGCCTACCTAGACCCAGAGGAGCAAGATCTTCATGTGCAAAACCTGACGGGACAGGTGGATACGATCTCTTACATGGTTTTGAAACAGCAGCTATGAGGAGGTAGCTTGTGCATGCAATCTATTGCTCTCTCTGCCATGCAGGACAGGTTCACTGCAACACCAAGGTGGTACCACAATGATTCTCCTACAAGTGACAGTAGTAGGTGACCTTGGGACATGCTAGATGAGCACAGTATGGATCCCCATGGGAAAGGTACAGCTGCAGGTGCAACCTGCCCTGCAGCTTCCCTTCTGGTGGATGCATTTTAGGGGTACACAGATGAACTTGTGAAGAAAACCCAACTAGCACGTATCACCGGGGCTTTGCAGAAGCCACTTTGCTCAAGTGAGGCTGATGTAGCTTCTCAGCATCCTTCAGGAAGAGTAAGACCCCCTTACCTGGGATGGGGCATGAGCCGGCGGTGCTGTGCCTCGAGGAGCTGCTGCTGGAGGAGGTATTGCTGGTGAAGCGCCTGAGGTAGGAAGGAGGGTCCGGCCACGTCCTGGAAGGGCAGGGCTGGCACCGGCGCCAGGGGCTGGTGCAGGGGGCCGCTGTGCTGGTGCGCGGG